ACTTTTTATTTATTTCACGTCTAACTATCCACACCTATGTAAATAAAACAGCTTTAAAAATATGTTTCAATAAAAGCAGCTCTAGCAGCTTGTCCAGCCTGATTGCTTGGGGGCGTCTAGGTTGGCCTTGGTTCTTCTGGAGCATTCTCAGTGTCATCATACGTAACATCCAGGTCTTCTTTCATATCAATAGCAATATTGTGGAGGATTGCCAGTGCTACTATATATAATTTGGCATTTTCTAAAGACACTGAGAAGCCATGAAGAAGACACCTAAATCGAAAACCATCCACCTCTATTACTCTTTTCGATATCAGCTCGCACTGTCACAGATCTTCATAACATACTTCTTTGAAAAGCGGTATTTTGTTTTGAAATCGCCATCCGAAAGTAATAACGGATTGCACCGAGTTTGGTATGTTTTGACTTTCCTTGGAGGCGGCAAATCTTCAATCGTATGTATTAGCTGCATATCAATATTATCTAAATCTTCCATTTGATCTATAAAATCTATTTTCAACAAACACAAATACCTACTAACTTAAATCTTTCCTTGAACTAAACAGTCAAAAAATGCTGTCAAACGCGAAATCAGATCAAATAACGCAATTTATGTCCTATACACCCGTTAAACTAGGCCTCGGCGTTGTATAAGCATTGTACAAGTCTTCATACAAACCAGACACTTGTTATAACAGCCGTATACGTCAAACGTGTCAATTCAAGAATTATTAGTAACATTTTTCTTATAACAGGCTTATACGATGTGCATAATTCTTTATTAGTAAGACCGTTAATGTGCCTCCCGTCACGGCAAACGTCCGTATAATTGGAGTATGAAAGTTATGAAAAAGAGAACGCACATGTATATTATAAAAGCCAGGAAGCATAGCCAGTCCTAAGATATATAAGTCGCCGTGGCTATGTCGGCGTAGAATACATAATTGAGCTATGTACCTTTAAATTTATTTACGAAACAACAGATATTTACTTACAATTGATTGCTTTTTAATCCATAATAGTATTATATGCCTTAAATAGTCAGTATCTAAAGAAAAATCAGTGGCGCTACAACGTTGTTAGGTCTGAGCCTCCGATTTCTGAATCTGTTTGATGATCATTTCATTTCATTTACACATCGCTTCCTGTACCCGATACACGCCTTCGACTTTTTGGGTCTAAGACAAGCCGATTTCATCGCGAAGTTTTTCTTCACCGTTCGAGCGAATGTTAAATGCGCACATAGAAAGAAATCCATTGGTGCACAGCCGGGGATTGAACCTCAGGGATGAAAGTCATACGCTGAAGCCACTAGGCCAACACTGCTCAGTTCTGCTGTAGTCAGAATCTATGAAAGCTTATAAACTTAATTCAACTTAATTGTTGTTATACTTATATACATATTTTCTTACTTATACAATTATTAAAATAGCGTAATATACTCACAGGCTATAAATCCTGCAAATGCTACGAACACCCTCATTATAAGGCTGCTTCGGGGGAATATTTTAATTATAACTGTTTGGGTATTTATATCATAGTCTATCATATCATGTCGTTTGTATCTACGTTATTGAGTTACTTAGATAATACATAATCAGTAATAGATTTTTATAAAAAATATAATATATTAAAAATGTTCACTACAAACGACCCCATGTCATGGTTTTGGTAACAACATTTTATAACAACCGCAATAGCATTTGTGTAATCGACGAAATTAAAGTACATAAATCTTGGCAAATTTAATCAATTAACAAAAATGATTCTTCATTAAAATTTGATAGTTCGTTACATTTACAAGACAAAAAACACTTAAATAATGAGGAGGGCAACGGCCTTCTCGCTAAAATCGGCTTTATTTCAGGCAACCCTAGTAACAAAATACAAAGTATGGGAAAGTGCAAGTGAGAAACATAAGAATTACAAAAATATTTTTATCGATTAAAGTTTATTAACATTCGGTATTATTCCATACAAATTAATTGTTATTTAATTATAAGTAGAAAATAAGATGTCAACGATAAAGGTTTTATATAATAGATCAATTTCTACGTCGGTAATCATAGATAAATAAGTTTATCACTGGAAGGTGGCATACACAAGGTGGAAGTGATTAACAATGTGTGTTTTTAATGGGACAAACGTATCTCGATCATTTAATTCAATGACTAGTTGGCGTAGTGGTTACGTTTTGAAGATCAGGTTTAGCGGCGTCAGGACGTGACGACTCCAACGCGTATGGTAAAGTAACCTGTGACAGAGGTAATTTCACCAGTGCAATCACTCCCCTTGCTAGTAGGAGTGCCATGCTGTTGCTTTCGGGCTGCAGCCAATACCACAGTTCACAAGAAACTGGTGTGAAGTTATGCAATAGGTTTATCCTGTTGTACTCGCGTTATGTGTGGTGAGTGAGACACCCGAAGCCCATTTCCTAATAAGTTTGAAGGTGCCGTTTAAAAAGAGGAGGGTACCACACGCTTCCTCTGTGGAGAATCCCCCTCTGGGCATCTTTAAATACAGATTAATCGATAATTGACGTCGTAAGGTGTGAGGTTGAAAAAGTATGGGTATGGATAGTAAGAGATACCATAGTCTCAACGAGCACTATCTTAATCTTACTGTACTTAAACAAGTACTCCTAAAGAAAATACAAGAGCCTGTTCCATCAAGAGATCAACTACATCCTATCCGGCCGCTTGGTATCGCCCTAGCGATGTCTGTTGGTAACTGTGTGGTAACGAGATTCACCGTACGCCTTGCAGGTTAATCAACCTTTTAAATAATGATTGTATCACTCTTTTGTGTAATAAACATGTAAGTTAATTAGGTACATGATAAGTGTAATTCATCAACATGTTACGGGCGTGGAACCACATGCATGGGTGATTCTTAATCTTATCGTAATTAAGTTTAATAATTTCAGTATTATTATACATGAATATCGTATATTCAATAAGTTTAGATATAATAAAATAAATAAAAACATACAACAAAGAATTATTTAAGTAATCACAAAGATACTAAAATTTTGTTGAGGCGTGTCAAGTTCAGAATTTGCTACCAGAAATTTAGGCAATTTTCAAAAGAAACAAATGTTAATTCAATGAATTTGATGACTGTTATTTTTGTCGTTTAACCATTATTTAACTTACCATGTTTCTTAAAGATGATGAATACATCATGATCATCATGAACAAATATGTTCAATTAAATTGTGTCGTCATAAATGGTCTAAACAAGAATAAGAATGATTCAAACTTTATATTTTGAATGTGAAAACTCGTAATTTGTCATTGGCTATCGTGATTGGATTGTCCGGATCCGTTAGAACGTGTCGGGGCCTCCTACGAGCCTTTTTTGTTTACGCTACTTTTACGCACCAACGGGTTAGGATGATGTTTAGCCTTGTCGAAGTGGCGTGTGGACGCCAACTTCATACATTGGGCTATGGTAGGGAGCTCCAGGTCGTGGTGGAGATCGACGTTTTTCACGTAGAAGGGCGCTCCGGTCGCGATTCTCATGAATCGCGATGAAGTACCCGGTGGATATGGGCGAGGGCACAATGCGCAAAGACTACGCCAGCGTATGTCATGCACGGTCGGATGCAGGCCTTGGACAAGTCACCAGGTGTCTAACGTACATGTGACTCCTTTTATTTAGGAGGAAAAGGAGGCGAGAGAGGACAAAAAAGGCCTTCTTGCAAATGGCGGCTATTTAAGTATTAAATAATAATATAATTATTTATACCACATTTTTCACGGGTTATTACCTTACATTAGTTATATAGTTATATATATACAGTGACCAGTGACGGGAAACCCAGAGCCTGATTATTTTTGTTTTTGCGTGGCAAATCATTGATTGATTGATATGATTTCTATCATAACATTATAAATAACATAAGCCCTGGGATAATTACACTACGTCACAATAATTTATTAAAAGATAAAATTATTATTTGTTAAACTAAAATAAAATATGTCGTGATAAACTTTTGTTTATACATAGCATTACGATTATAAGAACAAAGCTTTGTATTGATAGAGACAAAAGTCTGACTTAGCAAAGAATTTTGATACTAACCTCCTATCAAATCTGTTTAATTTATTATAATTCTTATTCCTATATAGGCAGTGTACGATTAAAATAAAAATACTTTTTGAAGTTATACTTCTTTAAGCGCGTTATGAAAAATTGATAGAGTTCAATTAACAGAATGAAGTTGCCCACGGAAGATGCTACGGCATTGGACATAATTTAAGAACAACATTCGAATAATAATATAATTTATGTTACACTTAATGTAAATGAACTTTATTGACTAGAATGACTCCTTTTCCAGTCTTTGATTATTTAATTGTAATTAATTATTTGCATGCAATCAAAAACTATTTTTAATAATGCCAAAGAAGTATAACTTCTTACGCGCGTACATAAGTACACGCACCCTTTTTTTAAATATTTTAGTTGCATTTAATTTAAAATAACCCTTGACTTTAACGACTATCGTTATTATTTGGCCAATTAGCTCCAGTCCTTATGCCGAAGAAGCCGTTACTGAAAAGAAAAGAAAAATGAAGTCTATAATGTAAAAAGATACTTCATTAATTAGGTTTTGTTTATTTACCAATGCTAGAAATAGGCAAGAACAGTCAATTGAAGTAATAAAATTGGGAGAATAGGTAAAATACTTCATTTTATCGTTGACCATTGTTTAAAAAAATGAAATTTGAATTGCACCTGAATAAATTTGATTTAATAGAATAAAAAGATATTTTATAAAAAATCTACAAGCCTTGGTATTAAATCTAACCGTGTTGGCCGAGATTCGCGTAACCCATGTGAAATTGATTGCCATGGCAAGTGGACAGCTCAGCTTCCCATACATAAGGGCATTGTCGCCCAACCAGATGTGCGTGGTGAACAGTAGCAGCAAGGAATTCAGTTGAGCGACAATGTGAGCTTGAGCTGGCACCGAATCCAGGTTGGGGATTTCTTCAACCGTTCGGGTAGAAGTCTGCATGTGCTATAAGATTCATGAAGCCACGGGTACGTCCATCGGTGTGGATTCCTTCGACATATCTACCACAGTTTCGGTTGAGTGCTTGACTGTTTCCACCACAGGTAGGACCAGCCGAGTCCAAGCCTGTAAAAATAAATAAATGACTTTTTTTAGTAATTTTAACGTTGAGCGTTTCAGTGGCTTAATAATTCACAATGGGGTATAATATGGAAGTCCTAGGTTTGATATCTGGTGATACAATAATGTTTTTTTGGTTTGGAAGATCACTTGTTTGTCGAAGCGAATGAATCAGATACAGCAGGTGTCTGCCTCGTTCCAGAATGCGCTGTAACGGAAGATCCGATTGTGTCTTAACATTAGAATTTATTTATTTCCACCATATATATGGCAGTACCTGTCTCTCTGCGAGCACGCCCGCCGATTTGGCGTCCAGCATTACAGACAACATAAGCTCCCAAACTGAAGCCAGTTAGAAGGAGACTGTCTACCCAAATAAAGCTACCCAAATGATTGCCAAGATCTGGCACTCCTCTTGCAGCAGTGTTACATCCTTGACCAGCGAGACGTTGCCAGTCAACAACAATAACATTACAGTCCATGACAGCGAGGAAGGCTTCAGTGATCATATGGTTCGTGACCACGCTGACCTTGGTAGGACGATTTCCCCTGTAGTGCGAGTAAAACAATCGATATAATTGTTTTTCCGAAATCGAATCAAATCGAAAACATTTTATGAAGCAAGCAATTTGTTTATCTTGAATTAGGGTTACTATAAATACCGGTTCTGTATGGTACGGAATTTAGTTTGATTAGGCGATCAAACCAAGTAGAAGCCTTAATAGAGTAGACAAACGTCGAAATTAAATCGCCTATATCAATGATGTTAGCATTTCGATGTTTACGTCATTGATATAGGCAAAAATTATATTTTCGTTATCGCTGTTGGAAGTTACCGAACACCGACGAAGACGCTCACTTTTTAGGTGAATTAAATTAATTTTAATTTCATATTAATGTAATATTTTTTGTAGAGAACTGATTTAGCTACTGAGCTATATCTACAATAATATTAAAATAATTGTAAATAAAATACGACGATGTAAATTTTTGCTCCTGATAAAAAATTCCTGCAAATTTGGGTGAAAATAAAACAAGGCATATTAAATGCCTGTTCCATAAGTCCTAACCGTATAATATAAATTAACGTACAAAGAGAATAACATTATATTTGTTTCATTATCGTTTTTAATTAGAAAAATTACTGCTTTTTAAGTATCAGAAGATATTTCTTTAAAATGATATATTTAAGTGTACTAAATACTACGTAAGGTTATTGAGTTTGTAGAGTAGGTAATACCTATGTAAAAATGTGTTACTAGATGGCGCTAATATGCATATTTGAGCGTGATAAACCGATGACGCTTAATATTGTATCGATACGATTCCATCGAAACGGTGGTGTGACCAGTCTTAATATGTCGCCTCCCCTCGATATTCTTTTTAATAAGTGTTTGTCAATTTAATAAACTGAAATTATATACAATGACTAGGGGATTTTAGATTTCAAAGTAAGAGTTCCGTAATGAAAAATCGGCAATTGCCTATGGGACCACAGGGATTGTTGGTATTTCCACATAAATTTTTGGTTGCCAAGACCTACGCGCCGGCGCCGCAGAAATCAAGTCGTCTCGTTGTCGCCGAGTTATCAGTTCTAGAGTAATATTTTTAGGGTGGTTCGTTGCAGTACCAGGAGCGATACAATGAACGCTTTATGTCACAGTCATTTAAATCGTCGTATACATAATACAACAATCAACAGTTTGCCGATTGATAAAGAAAACACTGTACAAAATTTGCACTTTCTTTTTCTAGTATATTTTGTATCTCACATGACATCTTAAGTAATTAATAGTTAATTAGTCTCTGTTTGACTTTTCCGTTTAATGATTAACTGAATGATTTTGCAATATGAGCACATTTTTATATAGAAGAAATAGATTTACTAAATCTTATATTAATCTACTGATATAAGTAAGTTTAATTATTCTATTTCTTACTGAGTTCGGTATAATAAATTCGTAATTTTTGAAAGTTTGACATTGATTTCGACGTGCTCTCTCTGAGTTTTGTATAGGAGCCGCTACGCCATACGGAAAAAATGGCGCCTTATAGGATTGTCAGACAATATCATGAAGACTATCATACGGTAGAAATAAACGACCTAAAGATAGTGCGAATATCTAAAGTAAAAATTGTTACCATTTAAGAATTTTCCGATTTTCTGCTGTCTTATTACTTTATATAAACTATTTTGATTGAAACTTCAATCATATTTCAGAAGTAAACCAGAAGCCTAATCGGCCATTACAATGACATTTGCGTATATTATATTTTAAGGCGTTATGTTTTTTGGACATATATTCTGCTTTTATAGTTTCTTTCTAAAAAGATATTAACTAATAATAATAAGTAATATTTGTTATACTATTACAGTTCATTGAAATCCTATAACAGTAAAATAATAAAATAATAAAATAAAAAATAAAATAAAAATAAAATAAAAGCCTTTTATTTCCCAATATAGTTAAGAGGCGGAGAGGCGGAGAGGCGGGTAGACTGTGTCACGTATAACAACTTAAAACGGTGCTCTGTATAAATTTGATCTTTAAAAATAATAAAGTGAGAAAAACTCCGATAATACTGAAAAATCGTTGAAATAAGTGTGCAAGAAACCCAATGAACAAATAACAAGTGAAAAATAAACACCAAAAAGGGATAAAACCAATAAAATAGTGCTATTGCTTACACGGTCAAATACCATTAATCTTACCATAAATCTACGTGCAAAAGTTGCTTTTCCGGGCAATAAGTCAATAGTGGAACAAATCTGAAGTGAACGTGCGTGACAATTCAATGCAAACTCAAGAATAATTAAACTTTCTAATTTGCTAAGTCAGTAAACAACACCATCTAGCTTCAAATAGCCAAATCATCTCAAGAACAGCTACTGCAGTACCAATCGACGTAAACAACTACTCGATACTAGAGGTCGCAAAAGCTAAAAATAACAACTTAAAATACAAAAATAAAAATCAAAATGGAAGAGGTAATGGCAGCACTTCGAAAAATTCAAAATGACTTAGATGAACAAAAAACCACTATTACAAAAAGCGCAGATGAAGTGACGGAGAAAGTAACAAAAAAATATAAACAAAATATTAGACCAAAAATTAAAAACTTTGGAAAGAAATCAGGAAAAACTCGAGGAAAAATAGAAAACCAAGAACACAGGTTAAATCAGTTGGAGAGACAAACAAGGCAAAGAAACGTTGTTTTCTTTGGTATGGAGGAAAATGAACGTTCTTATTCACATCTAGAAAACAATGTAATTGATTTTCTGAATAATTATTTTTCTTTAAATATAAACTGCCATGACATAGAAGCTGCTAGAAGAATAGGGAAAAAAGGCGACAAGCCCCGTCCGATCGCGGTCACATTCGCCACTCTAGGTCACAAGATAAAGGTAATGCAACAAAAGAAAGCTCTGAATGATACCAGCTACTATTTAAAAGATGATTACCCATATCATGTCCTAGAGAAAAGGAAGATTCTTCAGGAACAAGTCAAAATAGAGCAGGAAAAAGGGAACAAAGCTACCATAAAATACGATAAGCTGGTAGTAATTAAACCTAATAAAACAGATGCCGACCACACGGACAACAGAAAAAGGCATCTTTCTATCTCTCCACAACAGAGGAAAAATGCCGAGAAAAATACTCTAAGTACCAGTACACAAACAGCTAAGAAAAATAAAACCGTTCAAAGTCGCACAACACCTCAACGATCCTCCAGCATCTCAGAAGGAGTGATTAAGCCAGGAATGCTTAACTTTTTAGTAAACAAGAAAGACATGCAGAGCGACGAAGGAAATAAAAGAAACAGCAACAACATATAGCAACTAACAACGCCTCTCTCAGTGTACAAACACAACATAGATAAACTTAACAAAAATGAATCATCACATCTTCCAAGACGGCCGGTCACACGTAGGAAGATTACGACCAAAACCTTCCAGCAACACCATTAAAAACCAACTCATCAACCGAAGAAAACAATCTAATTAACCAGCTCTTGCAGAGGGCGACCTTTCGCACGCTGGGAAGAAGATATTAAAAAAATAGCTTGCCCCAAATGGCAGCACATAGCGCAAAATAGAGAAAACTGGCAAAAGCTGGAAGAGGCCTTCACCTGAAGAGGGGTTCCTATACAATAATTAGAATATCAAAAACTGTAAATAATAATACTTAGCATGATAGAAATATAGTCATAATATTTATTCATTTACTAATAGATTTTGTTAAGTTTTGCAAAGGTTTAGAAAACCACATAAAGAAATGTACCTTATTAATTAACTATATTGGGAAATAAAAGGCTTTTTATTTTATTTTTATTTATAACAGTAAAATAAAGTTATATTAATGTTTGAAAAAACAGAATGTAGTAAATTACATACGGTACCCTAAAGAACTTTGCTGACATCGCGGCACGTGTATGGTCAACGTGCCGGCTTCAAGGAATTACTCTGCTGACACAGTGTTTACCGCGATTTAACATTTTAATTAAATAAAATATGTTTGCCACTCCGTATATATCTAGCATCGATAACGGATGTAATTTTGTAATTTAATTATAAGTTTAAATATAATAAATACCTAGCTAATTATTGGTTTTTTTTGGGAGTCCGGGCTGACGAAATCGTAATTGGCGCAGTCGGTAGGATACTTTCGGGGCTACTACGATCGATATAAAGAAGATTTCCGGGGTCTAGATTCGACACCGCGCGCGGTCGTTCTAGCTATCGCTCTTAAGCGTTCACCGAAATATCAAAGAACATTTCGAAGCCGCCGGGGCGTACTCAAACTTCAGTGCAACTCAAAGAAAACCAGGGAAGTCGACGAGTTATGTGAGTACATTGAATTATTTTTCCATCAGTGTTGCTTTCTCCTCGTCACAATTTTCCGTCCTACGAAAAATAGTCCTGTGTCCTCCAGGCATAAAATTCGTAGGGATAGCTTAGTAGACTTGAATCGTCAATTAGGTGTAGACTCGAATCGTCAGTTAAGTGAAGGCTCGAATTGCCCTCCAGTAGATTTAAATAATTTTCCTGAGAGCTCGAATTGCCCTCAAAGTTTAGACAGTAGGTTGAATTTAAGTTTTAGTAATTTAAAATATAAAATGGATCCTGATACAGTATATAAGGCTCTCCGCCCAGTTCCTGAATTTGACGGTAACCCACATATTCTCCCTAGATTTATTAGAATATGTGATCAGATCGTAATTCAATGCGTGAAGGACGAGCTAGGATATGAATTATCGAATTTATGTGTTATAAATGGCATTTTAAATAAAATTACTGGTTCCGCAGCTCGTACAATAAATTCAAATGGTATTCCTGAAAATTGGATAGGAATTAGAAATACTTTAATTAATAATTTTTCTGACCAAAGGGACGAGACCGCCCTTTACAATGACTTAGCATTAGCGACACAGTGTAATGAGAATCCACAAGAATTCTATGACAAATGCCAAAACCTTTTTAGCACTATAATGTCTTATGTATCGTTGCACGAGACATTAGAGACAACTATAGAAGCTAAGAGAATTTTATATCGGAAATTAACTTTACAAGCGTTTGTAAGAGGTTTAAAAGATCCTCTCGGGTCCCGAATAAGGTGTATGAGACCTGAAACTATTGAGAAGGCTTTGGAATTTGTCCAAGATGAACTTAATGTTATGTACTTGCAGCAGCGAAATAATTTAGCAACAGATCTGAAGAAACCATTATTACCATTAACACCACACAACTCACACCAACAATTTACACAGCCTAAATTTCCTCCTATGAATAATAACTTTAATTCTCCTAAATTTTTACCCGGACCTAGTTGGCATAAACCTAATTTTAATCCCCAATTTAATAGTCATCAGCGCATGCCTATGCAACCAACGCGTACTCAGCAAATGTTCCGAGCACCATTGCCTAATAATAACAGTGGTTTTAGAATACCTAACAGGAACCCTCCACAGAATAATTCTGGCCCTAAGCCTATGAGTGGAGTGAGTCATTTTGTGACAAAACCTTTACCACCTAGAATTCCCGGACATGATTGGCAAAAATTTGGCAACCCTCCTCCATCTAATTACTTTAAGTTTAGAGAAGTTA